ACAACAATCTTTCACTGTAAATGAAATCCCAAAGTAGCATAAAGCCAGTAAGTAGCTTTATCTTACCATATCCTTCAAGTGCAGAACAGCTTTGACTGTGGTCAAATAATCATTATGGAAATTATTACAGTTCAAAGTGGAAAAAATCCTTTTCCCTTTCCTGAAATCTGAGTAATACCCAAAGACTTCTCTTCTTCACACAAAATGCATTGATATTATATAAATAATAATATTTTGTACTACTATTATACATTACATGAATAATTTTTAAGAATCAACTTATGTAAATGAAAAAATGAACAGCCTTCAAAAAAACATTGTGTTCACATGGTATCTGCAAATTCAATTTACTTTTTTCAAGAAGATAAGGTTTTCCAATACACTGTCAGCAAATAGTAATTAATGACCTTTAGATAGCAACCCATTCCCTGCTTCTGAAACTGGTTTGTGAAATATTTGTGTACCATGCCTGTGTAAGTAACTACTAAAATTCAATATCACAACCTTGTATCACAAGCCAGAATTTTGCTTCCAAGATTTCCACATTAAATATATCTTAGCAACAGCAGAGTAAGCCAAGGTCTTGTGCTACAGAATTTGCCATTGCTTCACTAACACCACAGTCAGCTAATTCTACATTCATTCAAGTCTCTTTCCTGGGCATCTTCCTTGTCCGTTCATAAGCAATATCAGTAGATCCAATGAGGTGAGTAATCCCACCTAAACTGTTCCTGTAGTTGAAAAAGAAGGAACTCAAATATCAGGAAAACACTATTTCAAGATTCAAGATGAAATAGGCCTATTTCCCCTGGCTCTTCTCTCCCAGGTAATCCAGTTTGCAAGCAGCCTCAGGGACAGGACTAGTCCCAGTGACTTAAGGGAGGCAAGGACTTATCCCAGCGAGGCAGAGCTGTGCCTTTCTCAGGCTATTGGCCAAGGCTGTTATGTCTAAACATAACAGCCAGGTGGGCTGCTGGCCAGGTGGGCTGCAGGTAACATCAGTAAGGAAAGAGAGCCTGTGGTCCAGAGAACAAAGAGGTTCCCACAGCCTCCTTTTCCTCAGGTTACATGCTCCCTACAATAAAGCAAGGAATTCCATTAAAAGGATGAAACACCACAGCAAGTTTCTCCAAAACAAGAACACAAAATTGTGGAAACCTGACATATGCTGTGCAAAATCCCAGAGGATTACATCAAAGGCCAGGTGAAGACACTTGACAACGGTAATTTGAGAGTTACACATCTGAACAATGGAAACCAGTGCCTGCACTGCAAGAGCACAGGAGTTTCCAAGCCGCAAGTCATTCCTGTTTTGGATGTATTTCTGTCAACACAGCTTGGAGGGGAAAGTAACTGCTGTTACATCCTAAATAAAACAAGATTAGCAACATTTGTTGCTAGTGTCCTCAAGAGCATTTGTCTGATTTCTAAAGAGGACTAAATATTCATCTGAAGAAAAAGTCTATTGCTTTAATCCTGGGAACAAACATGGTAAAGTGCTTGAGTTTCAGATCTTTCTTTGACCTGAGGACATTACAAGTACCAACATGGAAAATGTGACCTGTATTTGCCAATATAAGAAACAGAAATGTAAGAAAACTATAAGCCATGAAGACAGAAACTGAAATGAATACAAATGGGAAGCAAGGTGAAATTAAAAAAACAAACCAAAAAAAAAAAAAAACAAACCCAAACCAAGAGATAAAAGAGGAAGAAAAATTATTTACTAAATTCTAACTGAAAGCTTAGTCACAGCTAACTTAAAATATTCAGAATCTTCTTTCATTTATAAAGAGTTGATGAAGGAATAAGCTAAATTAAAAGTCAGCTTATTAAAAAAATTAAAAATGTGTGAAATTAGCAATATTTTTTACAGCCGCTAGTATCAAGCTTTCTAAAATCTAGTGGAACAGTAATGACAAAGGACTGCTTCTGATAACAATTATGCATGGAGTATTTAACAATTTATTCTTAAAATTAAGAGATGTCTAATAGTAGCAGAAGAGGAGGAATACTGTGCTTTTTACTTTTAGTACGAATTATTTGCCAAACTCAATGCTTACATTGTCTTCTAGATAAACTGATTTGTTCAAACAACTACCCACGTCATGACTATTCAATCAATACGGCAGCTGCAGAACAGCCAGAAGGTCATAATGCAGCACAAGGGACTTGACAAGTTTGTGTGCAGAAGGAAAAAATGAACATGCATAACTCTACACAGACACGTACATATAAGTTCAAACATTTCTACAGAAAACGTCCAAACTCTTTCATAACTGTACTAGGCTGTGAACAGAATCTGCTTGTGGTTTTCACAGACATCCCTAACAAAACCAAATATAAAAGGGCACAAATCTTTAGTAATTCTCCTCTAAAGTAACACCTCATGATGTTTCTAGTAAGTTGATGCTGCCACTCAGTGACAAGCCATTTGCAGTTTTGCAAGTCCATTTTCTGTTCAAACAGTGCAGTTCACACACGTACAATGATGTTCTACTTCACACAGCAGACATGCAGTCAGAAGCCTGAAACAAGGCAGCACACAGTAATGGCCTTGCCTAAAGCCCATTGGTTTGTAGTGGGGATTTGCAAGCGTCAATAAAGACAATGCAAAACCTGCGGCCCAGCAGATGAATGTCAGCACATTGTTGAGCTGGGAATGCCAGTTTGGGTCTCGGGCTTTGTGTGCTGCTCACTGGGTGGCAAAAGCCAGCCATCCTATACTGCTTTCAAACAAGTGTGGCTTCCTGAACCCAGTCAGCTTTGCCTACCTCATGAAGGAGCAATATTTGCTTTCCTTTGAAAAGATCAAAAGGGTCTAAAAATGTATCCATGAAACCTCTATGAAGCAAGCCACTTTGAGAGAGAAAATTACCAAAACAAGAAAAAACAGAGAAAGGAAACATTTGCTATTGTTGATGAGGTATGGCTTGTATTGCATTGCAGAATTCACTTTTATGCCATTTTTTATATTAAATAGTTTTCATAGTAATCACAGGAAAGGTTGAGGTTGATATCATATAGGAGGATAAATATCCTCCTATTCAACCGTCCTTGTTGAATCCATTAGACATGGTCTTCTGAAGAGACTGGAAAGCCTCAGATCTACATGTTGAGAACAAGGAATCATTCTCTATAATCTCAAATTCTTAGTATAACAAGTACAATGTTATTGAGGCCCAAAATTTCCAAGTGACCTTTCACTTCTTTTCTAGTCTATAGAGGAACTGTTTCCAAGCTTATCTAGCAGTGTTTTGCATTAACAACTGAATCTCGTTACAAATACAGCCAAGCCATGGAACCTCAACCAGTCTGGTACCTTCTCTAGTGGCTTTTAATTCCCACAACAGCACTCAGCCAAACACATTCTTGCCACTACGTTCAAATGAGCGTTAAGGTCTGCTAAATCTGGTCCAACCACCAACTGCTTCATGAGTTCAACCTGTGGCAAACAACACACATTAACTTTATTTGATTGCCAGTTAATTACGGCATTTCTCCTCTTATGAAACAGAGCTGGAGCCTATTTATACTTTGGCTTGAAATAACTTGCAATAGAATTAGCATATGCAAGTTCTAACAACATTCCTCATGTTTTATCTATCATACCTTACAGAAGTAGTATTTGCAGTTTAGTCAGTCGTTACCAGAGTATGCCACCACTGCCTTTCATTCCACTGCAAACAACCTTTAAATTTTTAACTCAGTACACCAACAATATTCTTAAATTTTAAATTTTTCTCATGTTTTATCTTAAAATGCTGTTTCCTCTAATAAACTTTATAAACAGGAACATTGCAGCTGCCAGTTTCTTGCCTCATCTTGTTTTAAGGGCCATGGAGATAACTGTTACTTTTTGACTACAACCTTATCTTGCTGTCTGCCATTTATTTGCTTTCAGAGCTCAGTTACATCTTTCCTCTTCTACTATCTGCAACTGAGCTTGTCAACCATTATTAAATTTGAAAAGTCACTCGGTGGCCGAAGAAGCAAGTACCCTGACTTTGACAAATTTAATAGGATTAGCTCTTTCTATAAGGACATCAGTACCAAAAAAGACTGCTCTCATCTCAGTACTACAGTACATCCCCTTTATGCTATATCCCCAACTGAGAAACCTTACATTTTTCTGCTATGACATTTTAAAATAAATTACTTATGTCTGTGCAGGCCGTCATTCAGATGGGATTCAGTCAGTGCTATTGTACTGTAATCACAGAAATGAGGAAATATGGCAAATCGCACAGATTATTTCAATATAAACATATTTTAAAATACACGGTATGTCTTGAAGAAAATGTGTTAACGCGGATTTTCAGTTTGCTGTCCAACGGGGACAGAGACCCACGCACGACTATTAATCGGGGCATTTTTCAGAGGCTGTTTTCAAAGGGGAGGCAGACGCAATGACAACCCCAGCTGTGCTCTAGTACGGGGCCATCGTTCCGGGCAGCGCTCCGTTTCACCGCATCCCATCCAGATGCTCAGCAGCTCATTCGCACTGACCGACCCGACCCCAGGGCACACCACGACCCCCGCGCCGCCCACCCGCCCCTGCCTCGGCTGCGGGGAGCCCAGTGCGGCGGTGTCCCCGGCCACTCGCCGGGCCCGGGCAGCGGTACCGCAGCAGGAGCCGGGGCAGCGCGGCGTGACGGCCCCGCCGCCGCCTCCACGTGCGCCCGGTGCCGCGGCGGGGCCGCCCGCACGCCCCGCGCGCAGCCCGGCCGAGCACAGCCCGGCGCGGCGGGACCCTGCCGGCGGAGTCTGACCGCACCGCGGCGGCGGCACGTGTCTCGCCCTCCGCCGGGGACAGCACCAGCCACCCTCCGGCACCCGCAGGGGTTGCTGGCGAAGCAGAGCCCGTCCCGGAGCCCGTTACCTCAGCTGCTTCTGCTCCAGCTTGAGCTTCTTGGCTTGCGGCTCCCCCGCTGCCATCTTCGCGCTGGGCGGCGTGCGGCGCGCTCCGCTCCGCTCCCCTCGGCCCGCCCGCCGGGGCGGCCCCGCGCCGCCGCCGGGCCTCGCCGCCATCTTGGCCGCTGCCCCGCTGTCCCGGGAGCGGGACGGGCCGTGCCGGGCCGGGGGAGGTACGTGGAGCGCGGGAGGCCCGGGCCGTGAGGGAGTGGGGCGGTGCTGCCCTTGCTCGGGGGGACGGGATCCCTGCCAGGCGGGAGTCGCCCGTGCCCGGTCCCGGCCGCGCTGGTTGGCCAGAGTCGGGCAGGGGCGACATCCCCGCCAGTGGCGGTACCGGGAGACTGCCCCGCAAATCCGAGACTTTCCGCTTTACTCGCCTCCGTTTCTGTTGTTCGGTGCCTATTTAAATACAAAATCGTTGCCGTGTTCGAATACCACCACCTCCCCCTTCCGTTGTTCTGGGCTCTGGTGGAGGTGCGGAACCGCCCGGGTCAGAGCCCCGCAGCTGCGATCTGCACCGCTCCGCTGCGAGCTGAGGCGCCGGCATGAGGGGATCGTGCTCCGGCTGTCGGGGCAGGCAGCACGGCCTGCAGCAGGGGCGGTCGGGGAGCCGCCGTTCGCGGCTGAGCCCGCAGCAAGGCCAGGCCGGGAGGGGCAGGGCGGGTGGGGCAGCGGCGCCGGCTCACCTGGGTCGATCTTCAGCAGCCCTGCTGCAGCCATGGTGTTTGTACTCGTGCTCTACATGCTTAATTAGCAAGGGGCTCTGTGGGCGCCGATGTCCAGAATATGCGCTGAGAATAAACCCGTTATCATCCTGCACATCGCTCCTGCCCTGTTCAGTACCCAGCGGTAACTGAGTGGAGGTTGTCGCTTTTCTTTTGTTTCAGTTCAAATCTGCTGTGAATTAGTAATGCGTTTACCATCTTTTCAGTATGATGAATTGTTCGTACCCATTAAGAGTTAATCAAACTGGAGGAATAGCGTCACCATTCAATGTAGCTTTTCTATAACCAACCAGGCATAAAAGCATACTTGAGTGATGAAAATTTGTGTTCATTAGCAGGCAGACTGCAGTATGGGAGAGGAAAAGGTATTTTACAAGAAAACCAAAGCCAATTTCAATTACTCATGCAAGAGGTAAAATGATGGAAACAACGTTTCACAAAACAACTGAGTATGCCAACCATGAGAATGATTCTGCTGTGGCAGTTCCCAGCGGGTTTGAATCATACATAGCTTCTTATTTATTTATTAAGAAAAAAAAAAGAAGAGGAAATATCTGAATGGGATTTCTCTGTAAAAAATATCTTGTGTGCTAACTAAAACGCAAACCAATTTGGGGTTTTTTTGTGGGGGAGAAGGACAAACAGGTTCTTTACTGCCTGTATGGACGTATCTGAAAATTCTTTGCAAATGGCAAATCAAACTTGAAGAATACTCCATGCCCTCTCATGTTTGATTTTGCTGGTTTTATTTGGAAATTAAATTTTCTGTTGTAAAAGACAGTTATGCAGCAGCTAAATCCCCGTTGTTCTCTCATATATAGATCTGCTTACATGAGAAATCTTTAATAAAAACCTTGCCATGAGGATTCAGAAAAGAGAAATTGAAGTCCTTGAAGTAGAGAAGTCTGAACAGTAGGAGATGAGTGGTAGCTGTATTTTATAGCTGTAATAATGGCAAGAAACAAAATTAAAATTTGTTTAAAATGTGAAGTTACTTCCTCTTACATCCCTTTAAGTTACCCCCAAATTACAACTTCACATATAACTTCAAAAATAATAAAAAAAAAGAATACAGCGAAGATAAATCTTTTTTTCTGTTTATTTAACATAATATATGAAAGGCAGCCTTTTAACAGGAGCTGCTTAGAATAAGAGTATCCATGAGACTCATTCATACAGAATAAAAGAATTAGAGTGCTGCTCTGCTCTGCCCTCTTGGAGGAGAAGGAAGGTACAAGTGGTTATGTGCCTTCTTTCTGCCCTCTGTGTTTGGACTGGTTGGGGCAGAGTGCACACACATTGGGAAGGGTTGCCCTGCACAGCAGTTCCAGGGATGCTTGCTGGCTGTGGTAGAGTGTTTCAGTAGTGCATGGCTCTCTGGCACTGTGCTTGTCCTTTGTGGAACCTTGAGTGCCTCTTCAAAGAGAGCCTGTGAAAGACAGTGGTATAAAGCTAGTAGCACTGTTGTTCTGGCCTGTCAGACTTACTGGAGGAGTGAACTGGGCGAGCATGGTGGAAGGCATCTTCACAAAGAGCTACTGAGTTGGGGCTTTGATATCCTATGATTGAATCCTGCTGCCTTGTCCTTTCAGGGTTCTTCATGGTTTGGCTGGAATATAAGCCCAATTATCAGTATTTTCCTGAAAATACTATGAACACTCGATATGTGAACTGATACTCACTTTATCTGTCCATTTGGCCCTGTCAGTCTATTCAGTACTGCTTTCAGAGAGGGAATTTCTGAAGTCATCCCTTAGTAGTCCTAAAACTACTGATTCAGATGTTGTGTTCAAATGTTCCAGCTCCATGTAAAAATGCAGTCTTAGCAAAGAATTTTTAATTGGTTTGGTGTGGGGTTTTTTCCTAAGAAACTCTTGGTTTTCCAGCAAAGCTTTCTATTCTTGCAGGTCCCAAAGGGAACTGCAGTTATTCAGGATCAAATATTGTTTGATTATTCAGAATCTAATATTGTTCTGTTGACAAGAGATGGAACTCTCTTGCCAGCAGTTAGAAGATTTATACTGAAACTAATTTGAACAGAGGCACCATGCAAGTGTGTTATTGGAAAGCTCATCAGACAGTAGATTAAATTCTCATGCAGGCTCTAATTGTTACTGGTAAAAGCACAGAGGAAGTTGCAAATTTTGTTATGGATACCAAACACTGATTTAAGTCAACTTTAGAGTATTCTCAAGGGAGTACTTCCTCTTAAAAACAATTTCAGAAAGTTACTAACAGTGTTTTAAATGAGAGCAAAGATAAATAAATATATGCTGAACATCTGGGAAGCAAAGCATTTAGTCTTTAATAGGGATGATCTTGCTGATAAAATATGTCTGAGTACTTGTGCAGACACAAGCACTCCATGGTGTTGAGTAGATATGAAGTTTTGCTTGACTAACAGAGCAAAACTTGCTCGTAGCAGTTCTTAAAAAAGATTGCAAAAATGTTTTTACTTTGATGTGTAGATACCTAAGCTGTGAGCATCTTATATGCAAAAAGATTCATGACACTTGAGCAGCATCATTAAAACACACAAACAATAATAGGAACGTAAAAAACCCTGTGAAATTACAGAACATTCATGTTTTAGTAAACCTGAGGCTTACAGATTTATCAACTTGAATCACAGCTGCTAATGATGTGTCAGGTTGCTCCTGCCAATTATACAATATTTCAGAGCTGCCATGTTGGCTGTCTTGAAAGGGTTGTTCAGGTGTTTAATGGGACTTCTCTTTATTAGGTTTGCTGGTTTGAAAGTCAGTGAATGGGGTTGGGGAGGTCGGGAACACATTTGTGGCACATACTGAATTTATAGGAAAAGCTAAAGTGCTGACTAGCTGATCGTGACAAAAGTACTAGCTTCAATAGAAATAGAACTGCCTATTTTAGCTTATTTCTCCAGATTACTTTAAGCATTTGATTACTTTCCATTCACTTGTCACTAGAAGTTGATTTCCAGAAACACATAAGAGAGACTCAGACAGTCTACCACCACTAATTCTTCCACCCTTCAGAACAGCTATGCCAAATTCAGGGAACATTGGAGCTGTGGAATACTTTCCTAGTGATGGTCCTATTTGGAGCTATTTTCAGTAATTAGTACTAGCTCTAAAGGGCATTGCAGAGATCAGTGATAAATTCCTCACTTCGTGGTTTCAGAGCTTTGTATGTAACTCAGCTCAGTGTTATGAATAAGCAGCTGTTGACAGTATTTCTGCATTAATTACACTTTAGAGTACTTAATTGTAGCTAAGGACAAGCATGTGCAATCAGTCTTTTTTCCCATGCTCGCAGTCTCTCTCTCTTGCCAGTGAGCTCCACTTTTGTCTTGTGAGCCTGCTGTGCCTTTAGTCCAGATGTTTCCGTGCCAAGAATTTGAAAATCAGTAACACTGCAAATCCAGATTTAGTCAAAAGAAAAGTTAGAGATGTGGAAACAGCTCATTGAAGGTGTCTTAGTTAAAATATGTTTTTCTTCTATGTGGACTTCAGATTCTAGTAGGATGGAAACGACTGAGATGAGTCACGTGGAGTTTTGCATGTCAGACGAAGGATGGGAAGTTTGTGAGAAGAAGCTGCAAAACTGCAGGGCTGCTTGTTGCTGCAGAGCCTGTAAGGTGCCTTGCAGTCAGGCAGTAACATGAAAGGCTGTCAGTCTACTGAAAACGAGTTTGAACACTTTGCTTTGGCCTAGATGCAAATAATGATCCATGTACACCTTCGGTCTGCTCTTAGGTAGGCCTAAAAGCAGAGAGATGGGAGGCATGTCCTATAGAATAGTCCTAGAAGCATCTTCAATACCTTACATGGAGTGCGTTTATGCTGACATCTCAAAGTGGTATCTGTGTACACTACTACATGGAGAAGAATCTCATCATTCCTGAATTCTGGTGATGTAGTTTTGTTATTGTTTTTTAAAACTTAGGAACTTTGTTTCAAGACCTTTACCCTCAAAGTGCTGCAGCTCTTAACACACTTTGCTGTTGACCTACTGGTGTGAGGAATTTGAATGTTACTGGATTGATTTCTTATGTTCAGCATTTGTCAATCTTTTTTGCTTTTCAAATAGTGTTCTGATGAGACAAAAAAGTCAGGTATTGCAAAATTAGTTTAGGGATCTCTACATGTCTGAAATGAAATCTAGCACTCAAAAATAAAGTAACAGAGAAATTTTCAGTACTTGGAGCAATGTAAGTAATTTTTGTTAAATAATAGTTTATATATCTTGTATTGCTATTTTCGTAGTGTTACCAGTTCTAAGATATTCAACATTAAATCTGTCTTTAATCAGCTGGTGCCAGTTACTTGGCAGTGTATGGGATAAATCAAATTACTTAGTCTTGTGTATAATAGACTGATGTCCCCACTGCTGTAGGACCATCTTTATTCTACTCAGCACTGGGTAGTGTACCAGCTGAGCTGCCCCTTGACTGACAGGGCAGGGCTTGTGCCTCGAGCTGCCGGCTCTGCACTTAGGCTGCAAGGAGAGAGCTTCAGTTTTCCAGAGCACTTCAAATTAGCAGCAAATTAGCATACTGCTAAAACTTGCGAAAAAAGAAAGGAATATGTGAGAGGATTTGAAGGGAGGTCTTACACTAGAAACAGAATGTGTATTATGGGAAATTCTGTGATCCCTATCTTCCTACTTAGAAGATGGGGTAGGCAGCCGGTGGGGACTTTACTGCTCATATTCCACAGGTAATACAAAGCTGTCATCTGCCAAGCGTGGTCCCCTGGATCAGTTTGCTACTCTGGTTCACCACAAGGCCACACAAACACTCCTGTGAACACAGCTGGTGCCTAGGCAGCTTGGGGCAGATGAGTAAAGAAGGGCAGTGGCCAAGTGCTACCTCCCCTTCTGGCTACCCACACTCTCCCTTGATTGCATATCAAGTCATGGTCTAATATCCCAAGTGGAATTTAGGCAAAAGAAGGGACCCTGCTGCTACAGTCATTTGGTGCACCAGGAGCTTGCTATGATTGTGTGGTCTGCTGCACAGCTGTGCTTGTTAAAAGTATATTGTGACAAATGCAGACATTTCTGATCTGTAAATGAATAGAATCTGGATGAATGTTAACAGAAGCACTACAAACACTGTCACATGTGTCTGATACTCTTTGTATCAGCGTATCATTGGAAGCTGCCTGCTGTCCAGCATAGCTCCTCCAGAGCAGGCTGTGGATCAGCTCCTCTGGAAGTGGAATCTTACCAGTGCTGCTTGTACTGGACTCTCAGATGCAGCTTTGTGTGCATTAAATAGGAAGCGGGTCTGATATTTGTTAACAGATATGCTATTGTATCAATTTAAAAATGTACAGAGATCTATTCTAAGCTTTACAGCTGAGCACCTTTGTATGTGTGGGCAGCCGTGATGTCGAACAATGCTGACATTCAGTGGTTGATTATACTTGTCACCCTTGTGTGACTATCGAGGAGATTTTGGAAGGCTTTAATGTTCAATGCTGGCTAAATTCAGAACATGTTTACTGGAGCTGGATTAAAGCAATTGTGTCAAGGCTTCTTTATAAAATGCTGTGCTCACAGTATTAACATTTTCTGGTTTTTTTAACAAACTAAATTAGAGATTAATTTGGTCCAGAGTCAGATAGTGGAAACATGCAATAACACTTCATAGCTTTGTTTCCTTTCCTACTTCTAAGCAAATTTGCAATCACAGTTTCTAAAAGAACTTCCCTTTACATTCCCTATTGGGCTTAGATGAATATTTTTGTCCACCTTTTGACTATTGGTCTTTTTTTGTCGACTACCAAAGACAGCATGCTCTTGGCAGGAGGTAACTGAGACCTGGCTTGGCCCCAGTGAAGATGAGCATGTTGTTGTCATGGTTGTGAAGGAGCAGCTGGAGTTCAGAGTTTGAAAAGCTGGCTCTTGGCTCTCTCCCCACATCTGCTGACTTAGGTGGAAGGAAATATCATGCTGACAACCTTCCTGAGCTGTCCTTTTTCACTGTCTTTGATGAGCTTTGGAAGACATACGTTTGTTTTGTGAAAATGTGGAGGGCCAGACCATTTCTCGTTGTTACAAGTATATTGGTAAAGGACTACTGCTCTGTGTAGTTCAAATTCAGACATGGCAACACAAGCTCACTCTGGGTGGATCTAAGTGCTTATTCCAGTATTTTGGAATGAGATTTAGTCATACAGTGTTTATACTCTTAAAATCTCTGTGGGACTGGGCAATGTGCATCTAGATGCTTCCATGCTATTTTTACATTAGTGTGCCAAAGTTAACAGAGAAGGAGCTAATTTTATCTGTGTCTTAGGACAATATCCTGGGCAAACATGGTAAAGTTAATGAAAACTATGATGGGTTTTTGGTAGGTGTGTTTGAAGATGTGGACACCCAGTAATTGTCTGGTCTCTTTCCAGTCATGTTTGAATTCCTCCAAAGGCTAACTTTCAGTTCTGGATCTCCATTGCTATTGCTTGCACATTTCCACCACATGCCCTGTGCCAGCTCCAGCACTCTCTGGCAGTGAAATAACTTGCATTAGGAAGCTGGTCTGACCAGCAGCTCCTTTTGCTGGGTCAATTTCTGGCTGGACTATTTTCCTAATGTAAATAATTGCAGAGCCACAGACCTACTCAGATCAATACCTGAGAGGCAGAAGGGAAGAACAGCCAGTGCCAGGGGCAGCTTCTTCAACTACAGATGAATTTATGCTTGACATTGAATACCAGGTTAACTTCACCTTCAGAAGTTGCTGTTGGGGTTACAGTTTGGTTTGTTTTCTAAGCCCAAATTTTAACTTATTTTTTAAGAGAATCATTATGCTGCAGGTCAGCCAACGCATTTTGTCTGTCTCATGTAAAGGCTGAAGAGAAACTGAAGTTTGCTAGCATTTGTCTCCTCTGTAGATCCAGAGATAATAGTCTATTCATTTTATCTACTACTTAGTTCACTTACTATCACATTGAAAGTTGAGAAATAGGCTTGGAATTATTTTTTTAATAGGCACATAAGCTTCTTGCCCCATGAATAAAATGAAGGATCAGTGGCTGAGGCATGTTATTTGTAAATGTTTAAAGAGATAAGAAAAAAGTTACATTCCTTACCTGCAGTTCATACTCCCCTTTTACGTAAGTGAGTTTATAAGTGAAAAACATTTTATGTAAACATATTTCATGTATGCCAAGCACATTTGAGGCAATTGTATCCATTAAATCAGATTTAAATGGCTGGTTTTGTGTACTTTTAATGAATTCCAACCCTTTACCCAAGTGCAGCTTGGCATAGATCATAAGACTAATCTGCCAGCAAGTAAAAAGCACTTTTCTAGTTCAACAGCTTAAAGCTGACAAGCTAAAGAGCTGTATCTTTAAGACAGAGCAATTCTAAGTTAAGTGGGCAACTGCCAGGCCAACTACCATAGGAAACTTTCTGTACAAGTAATTCTTTCATGTCGGCAAACACGTTTGAGTGAGTGCCAGCTCATGGGAGTCAGTTTTTCTTAAAGAAATAAATTGCAAATACCAGATAGGAATGCAAGTGGAAAATGAGGGTGCTGTCTTCATGCTTGCATTATGATATACATTAGCAACTTAATCCAGTGGCAAATATTTTTTGTGGAATATTCTTGTAAATGAAGAAAATGGAATTCAAAGAAAAGCAACAAAGTAGATATTTTCCCTAAATTCACAGTGCATGTTAATAAAGAATAACCATCGTAAGAAAGGGAATCTGGGATATGAAATGTCAATCCACATATCCTTTTATTTATCTTCTTTTAACGTGTTTCCAACAGAAAATGATCCACAGCCTGTTTCTTATAAACTGTTCTGGTGATATCTTCTTGGAGAAGCACTGGAAGAGCGTTGTGAGCCAATCTGTCTGCGATTATTTCTTCGAAGCTCAGGAGAAAGCAATCGATGTTGAGAATGTGCCTCCTGTCATCTCAACTCCACACCACTACCTCATCAGCATCTATCGGGATAAAATCTTCTTTGTGTCTGTCATACAGACAGAAGTGCCACCACTCTTCGTAATTGAATTTCTGCACAGAGTAGCAGATACTTTCCAGGTCTGTCACCATTCAATGATTTTAAAATTCAGTGTCTGAAGGAGGCCTGTGGGGAAGCCAAAGAGGGACTCTTCATCAGGAACTACAGTGATAGGACAAGGAGAAATAAGTACAAACTGAAAGAAGGGAAATTTAAGCTAGATATTAGGAAGAAATTCTATTCTGTGAAGGTAGTAAAATAGTGAATGGAACAGGTTGCCCAGAGAGGTTGTGGATGTCAGGGCCAGGTTGGATGGGACTTTGAGCAACCTCATCTAGTGGGAGGTGTCCATGCCCATGGCAGGGGGGATGGGACCACCCCTTAACATTTTGTGATTCTATGATTCTAAAATTACTTCAAGGGATTTTTTTGTATAAACTTCTTTTAGAGAAAGGTAATAAACCCTTCTGTGAGTGACTTTTCTGTCTGCAATTTTTAAGTCAAGCACAGGTTTGTAGAATACAAAGGAAAAAGAGGTTTATTTTGTGCACTCACAAGCACCAGAACCCAAATCTGACTTTGTAAATGCTGGGTTTTTTTTCTGTAAGCGTTTGTATTAATAATGTTATGTAGATGGGAAGAAGGAGCATGTAGTCGGGCAGCATGCACTCTGTAGTGAGGAAAGGGCTGCAAAGAAGTCACTTCTCAACCAATTTCACAGATACTTTATATAAAGGAAACACGGTGAAGATTGAGCATTACCAAAGGATAGTATCTTTATTTTATGAGAGTCTTGTTAATGTTCACAAATAGAAGGACCTTTGTAACATAAATAGTAGCACATCACATTACATTATTTCACTGTTCATGCTTGTATTTATTTTCAGTTAGGTGATAAATATAACATTAACAATGTGATGCCATCAGGCTATAGAAATAGTCAGTTTAGGTGCTAAAATGCCTTAATGTATTGGAGGGTTTCTGTAAGAAAAAACCAAACAAACTTACTGTTGCAAAGCATTCTAACAGGAATAAAAATCCTCTCTTTTGTAATCTCTGAACTTGTTTAGGATTACTTCGGCGAATGTTCTGAGACGGCAATTAAGGACAATGTAGTAATTGTGTATGAACTCCTAGAAGAAATGCTAGACAATGGCTTTCCACTGGCAACAGAATCTAACATACTGAAGGAGCTGATTAAGCCTCCCACAATTTTGCGCTCTGTTGTCAACTCCATCACAGGTATGAAAATGTGTCATTTCAGCAATGATGGCTGTTTAAATAAAAGCCCCATCATTTCTCGTAGCTAAAAAATAATATATTGGTGTGAATCTGTAAGGTGAGGGCACTGTCCTGCCACTTCTCATCAACAGGAGTTGAATAAAAACAAGTCCCTCCTTATCTGCAGTTTATGCCTGGCCCCTTTGCTGTCCTCGGAGGCACTGCCTGGTTCAGCCACAGCTGCTGAAGTCCCTCAGGAACAGCAGCTCAGGACACACAGTCAGGACATACTGGAGACAGGTGCTCTGGGATTGGTACAGAGCTCACCCGAAGCCTTGAATAACTGAGGGGCACTGGAGAAGGTTAAGCATTTTGTAAGAAATCCATATAGGAAGGTATATAATAGATATGTAATAAATCCTTGATGGGTGGGAACAGATAGCATGAAGGGAAGCAAATAGCCTGTCCTCATCTTCCACCCTGCCCCCACCACCAAGCAGCACATGGATTCATATGGATTTGATTTCGCAACTGATTTCAGGCTGTTGTAAATGGGTCTGTCTTGCAGTGATGAAGCCAAATGTCTGTCAGCTGAGCTGGTGGAATCTGCTTGTCTGGCAAGCGGGTGCAAGGGAGGTGAGCCATGAGTGTCACGTGGGGGCAGAGAGATGCGAGACGGTCACTTGTACATTGTGTTAGAGAAGGGAGTAGTTGGGCTGCAGGGCCACACACATAATACTCAGAGGAGCTGGTCTTTAAGGTAGTAGATTATGGTTTAGTCTTTGAGTATAAATCTCATCGGTTTTAATTTCTGTTATTTGGAATTATTCTTTTATTTAATTAGGTTTTTTTACATGTGGATTGGAATGCTAGTATTTACACTTACGAAAATAAGTGTTTTATCTAAACCTTATTAAAATTCCCTAGCAGCCTAAAGTGCCTGCCCAAGGCAACCTGCATCTTGTCACTGTCAACAGCTCAGTGCTGAGCAGGTGGAAACAGCAGCCTGAGATGTCTCCTGTCTACCTGGCCTGGCAGCACTGCTGCACCCTGCAAGGCTGCTGAGGGACAGACACAGCAACTGCTTCTCTTCAGAGATGCAGTGGGAGTGAAGAAATGGTTGCAACTCCTCCCCCCGAGTTGTAGCACATGCAGGGGTGGACTTTAGGAAGGGGTTTTCTTGAGTAACTACTTCTACTAGCTCAAAGGAATGAAAACTTGTTTTCTGCCTGCCAGGCTAGAGTCTGCCCAAGCAGGTTTTGTAGAAATGATACCTGCTGCCCACCAGCTTCTCAGTGAAGATGTTTCACGTGGCACAACATCATTGTGCTAGAGGGCACAAGTCAGCATGAGCTGTGGCCCTATCCCGAGATCTACTTCTAGCAGAGGGAGCTGTTTACACTGTGCTGGGATTCCGGCATCAGTCACCTAAGCCTCAGAAATGATAAGATTTTTTTTTTTTTTTCCTTTTTAAAGTATCATCAATTTACTTTATAACTAGGTAGCTCAGGAAACCTTCTGCTCATGCTGGATGGTATTGGGAGCCAGGAGCCAAGGGTGAGAGCAAGGCAGGCAGGGACAGTGGTGTCATTGGTCAGGAGCCCAGAAGGTGAGGCAACAGGTCAGGGACTGGATCAGATGATTAACAGGTCATCTGCTGCTCAGTGATTGCCAGTAAGATCCATCAGAATGGGACAGGTCAAGCCAGAAAGTCCAGTCTGTGCCAGGGTCTGGATTGATTTGACCCATGGTCAGTTATAGACATAGCTGTCATGTTGATGCAGAGTAGCTCAGATGGGTACCAAGGGTGAGATCCTCAGCCTAACACCAGTTCCAAGCAAAGACTGTAGGAGCCCTCCCTAAGGCTTCTTACACATCCTTCTTGCTAATGACTCTTACCTGTTAATCAGCCCTGAAGTCATCCAGCTAAAACTCTTAGGAGAAGGGGGAAGCAGACTTAAGGCCCTCACAGGGAGCTGTCTTGTCTTGAATTAGGGATAAAATCCTCCATAAGATCTAGCTCCACATCTACTCCCACTCAAACCTCCTGCTGACTTGAGTATTGTATTTTGCTGTGCAAGATGTAGTCTGAAAGCTATTAAGTCTGGACACATGGCTCCAGTGCCTTCATGTCACCTCACAAATAACATTGAAGGGTCCAGGCTCTAGCCTACAATACCTGGGGCAAGCCTTGCCTTGATTTTTAATTTTGGCAGTCAAAACATTCCTTTTGTAATTAATTACTGATTTTAAGTTCCTTTTCATTTTTAAGGCAGTAGTAATGTGGGAGACACACTTCCCACTGGACAGTTATCCAACATTCCTTGGCGCAGAGCGGGAGTAAAATACACGAACAACGAAGCCTATTTTGATGTCATTGAAGAAATTGATGCAATTATAGACAAATCAGGTAAGATGTCTTGCAAACTGGTATTTGTTTCTCAAGTGTGTTTACATGTAGCTAATGATGTTTTAGAGAGAATACAGTCCAAACTTCTTATTTTTTTTGCATATGTTTTATATACATGCATTTATATATTAGGTAGAAATATTCAATTTAAAATGATGAGCTTAAGTGTATTTCTTCAGTTCACGTTAAAACAGCAACATGCTCTGGGCTGCTTCAAGAACATCCACAAGTATGTTTTCTGTTTGTATACTGATTATCTCGTAACAGATAGAAATGGGAAAAAAAAGTACTTGAAATGTGATGAGAAAATTATCTCCTATTGTTCCTGCCAACAATGTACTGTAGTCCTTGATGGCCCTCAAGTGAGCAAGACAAAATCCTTCTGATAGCAAGCTAAAATTGGTGTAAAATAGTTGGACAGTATTGTTTTCTTTATATTTAAGGAGCAGATATTATGAAGCATAATAATATTCCTTTCTTTTCTGTGAATGGAACATTTTCAGCGTTTTCAAATTAGTAACATTTTCAAATACAAAAGTCTTTATTCTGAGGTTTAACTTTGAGGAGGAACCTGATAACTTTTATGCCAAGAAAAAGAAAAAAAAATTATGCAAAAAGAAAACTGCAAAGCTGTGGGCAGGAACCTGATGTCAGTATTGGGGCCAGCAGTTAGCAAGGGTGAAGACTGCAGGACACCCTTTTGTGGTAGTATGGGCAGGGAGCAAATCTCTGATTATTCATTCAGTGCTGCTGTTGTAGCAGTGTCAGTGTTGGTTTGATCCTGTACACCACTTCAGCAAATGCTTTGGCCACTGTTGAAGTGGATAGTCATAAATAACTATTGTGCAGCTCTTACTCTCCCCATCTTGTAGCTAAAGGAAGGTGGCCCTTAGAGAACATGCTGATAACTGTGTTACTGTCCTAGCTCCTTAGGATTCCCAGGAGTAGTGTGAGTGCTTAGTCTGAGAAGGTACAATCAACACCATGGTGAATTTCTGTGTGTATTTCAGGCCAAATCAGTGTGCACTGAGTGTTTAATTTCCTACTGAGGATCTGCTGCAGTAGTCATAGTTACTCTTTTCTTCTCTGATCCCTTGGAGACCAGCAATGCAAGAACCCCTCTTTATAGCCTTCACCAAGACTAAGGTAGATAAGGTTGCTCCCCTAGAATAGGGAGGTTATCTTGTTTCATAGGGATATGGTCGACTGCTTTAACCTGAAACAGGATCACTTCATTTCAAACCAAGTATAAAGCCACCATTTCTCCTTTCCCTTGCCTAGATAACCAGTTTCTACCTATCTTCTAAAATTACCTTTGCATGTGGAGTTAATTAATTAGTCCAGCGTCCTGCTTTTGCCTTTCTATACTTAGAGGATATTTCAGGAAATGAGCATTTCCTGGGTAAAATGCTTGGTACTCTTACTTTGGGGTTTGGGTTTTATGCTATAGATTTACTTAACATCAAAATGAATATTTAATTTCATTGTTAAACAACCTTTACTTGTGAAAGCCAAAGTTAGCACCAACTTACTGCATTTTGACATTGACTGTTTTGATGTGCTTCAACTTCCCTGCACTACTACACAACTTGCTAGTTTTCTGGAGACTAGGGACAGGGATGAAAAAAAAAGATTCAGAGCTGGTGGGTTATGACTTAAATTCTTAAATAAATTCTTATTTGCTTATTGCTGGCAACCAGTTCAAGCACATCCAGTACAAATCCTGTGTAACAGCTGGCACAAGTATCATGAACTAGTTTGGGACAGGCTGTTTGCTCTGGCTCATGTACTTTAGCAAGCTGCCCAGGACACAGGTAACTGGAATGACCTTTCCTAGCTGGGCTTGGCATGTTGTTGAGTGTTGTGCAAATGTCATCTGTGCCCTCTAGCTGCACTTCACCACATCTGTTAGGCCTTTCATAATAATGTTCAGTCAAGTGTCTTGTTTTTCCCTGCAGGTTCCACAGTCTTTGCAGAAATCCAAGGTGTTATTGATTCGTGTATTAAGCTCTCAGGAATGCCAGATCTTTCTCTGTCTTTCATGGTAAATTCAGCCTATTTTTGGGAATCTTAATTGCTCAGGATTTATTTTTCTTAGTGATCAGAGTTAAATAACTTTAAGATCACTATCACAATTTCATGTGTTACACATACGAAGTAACACATTTTGCGTTATATTATAGAAGCTGCATTGTTCAGTAGTTGGAATGGCTTTTGTGTGTACATAAAAATACCCTCACAGGAGCTGCTGTACCGGGTCGGATGAGAAATCCATCTAGCTCAGTGACGTGTCTCTGATAATGGCTACTCAGAGTCTAAGATTAGGAATTGGGTAGAGTTCAGTAGCTAGCTCAAACTGCTGGTACTTGATGAGATTTCACTTAGCATTGTGCCTCTCCTTCCAGAACCCACGGCTGCTGGATGACGTCAGCTTCCATCCATGTATTCGGTTCAAACGCTGGGAGTCTGAGCGAGTCCTTTCGTTCATTCCTCCCGACGGCAATTTCAGACTCATCTCCTACCGCGTCAGTTCCCAGAAGTACGTTTCCACTCAGACACACTGCTCCTCCAGCCACACCACCTGCTGCTATCCACCTTGTAAAGGGGGGAATTTGCATTGTTCTGAAATGTGTGTGCTCAGGTTTTGTCTCAGCTGTTACTCTGTCCCTGCTAAAAGAGGAAAACCATTTTTCAGTGACCTGCAGGTACTCAGCAATAGTTTTTCAGTGGAATAAATCACACATGACAGCGATACAGGGCTATTCAGACCTAGTAACTGTAGTTGGTGCTAGATGCTTTATGAGTAAGTCTGTGTACATGGAGGACTCTGAGCTTCATGAGGAGAGTAAAGCAAAAAAGTCCAAACTGCAGATATTTGCAAACTAAAGTCTGATCTGACTAGTGGCTCTCCTGAGATTTGGCTCAGTGAGATTGCTTAAAAAAAACAAACAACAAAACAGGAACCAGATGAAGAGAGAATAGGACAAGGTATTTGGATGAAAATAAAGAAAATATTTTTCCTGTGATTCTCTGGTGATAAAATCATTTCAGCAATGATGCTGAAGAGCAGAATATCACTTCACTTACCACTTCTGAAACAAACCAGTTCTAACTTGAACACCTACCAGAAACACAAGAACCATTTATGAGAAAGTGCTTTAATTTCTCAAGCAGAGAAGTAGCCAGGATGTATTCAGCTACTGTCTTCTCTTTTCAGCTTGGTGGCAATTCCTGTATATGTGAAGCACATGATCAGTTTTAAGGAAAATACTTCTTCAGGAAGATTTGATGTTACCATTGGACCAAAACAGAATATGGGGAAAACAGTAGAAGGAGTAGTCATGACAGTTCACATGCCAAAGGCTGTACTTAACATGAACCTCACTGCTACACAAGGCAGCTATACATTTGACCCAGTTACTAAAGTAAGTCTTGAATTTTTATTTATTTAAATATTGAAGATGGCATTACTACAGGTCACCCATATTGCAGAATACTGGAACAGTGTTCCACACTTGGCAGAGAGCTCTGTTCAGCATATGTTTATGAATTAAAAATTTACCTTTAAAATTTGCTTTTTCAAACTTAGGTACGCACCAGCTCTGATTTCTGACTTTGACAGTATTCTTTTCCTTCCCTTCTTCTCTTTTCACCCTGCTGTTTCACCCACTAATATCTTTCCTTAGTGGGGGCAGCAGTATTTTGCTGATAGTTTCAGCCATTATATATTTTGCATATATGTTGTGGAAACGTATTTTTCTGAAGAAAATGCACTAGCCTTGAAAATGGGCATATAGAAAAACTGGAGCAGGAGATGAGAAAAAAAATTTTTCTGAAAGATCTGCCTAAAGACACACAGGAAAATAGTGTCTGAAAACACATCCCTTGGGCTCCTGATTCCTTGCCTCTGAGTTGGGGTTTGAGACCTAAATTTCATAAAGCTTCTGAAGCCTTTTAGTACCCAGGAGCCATTTTGCTGAAAAGCAGTTTGAGCCAAACCATTCTGCTGGCTCTAATACCCTGCTCTGAGCTTTCTGCTGCCCTTGGAATATCTCAGTCAGCAATTCATTAAAATTGTTAGGGAAAGCTCTCCAAGTAGCATTTTGTTTCAAAAACAACAGAGCTTGATCTTTTTAAAAGGAAAAAAAAAGATCTTTTTCTTTTTAAAAGAAAAAAAAAAAGTTTGTTTTTTTACCGACAAAAAAACTTAAGGTGTGCTTTCCTCTCTGCAGAAATAAATTTTACTGTGTTTTTATCAAGAGTTGGGATAACTAGGTGAATTGAAACTGCAAAAATTTTTAAAAGCATAGAGAATTGAGGTCTTTCTGTATTTATGACTATGATAAGAACAAACAAACCACCTCTTGTGGGTGAGTAAAGGACCTGCTTGGTTCCACGTTTCTCCAATGACTGTAAGAATCAATGGCAAACAAATGAGCCTTGAGAAAGTTAGCCTGGTTTAGACATCTCCTTTGGTTCAGTGCCTTGTTCCTACCCTCCTCATTCTTGTGTTTAAGTTTCTATGGTCTTTGTGCTGGTTGCTATCTTGGCTTCCTGGATCCAGCTGACCCAAACAGACATCAGGGTCAATTATCCTTAGCAAAGGGAACAAGATGTTCTCAGTGCACAGACCCACACAGACCCACACAGACAGGTCCCATATCTGCAGGAGCCCTCTCCCAGCCAGTGAGGTAATTCTCAGAGCTCCCAGGCTACTGTTGGTACCCAGCCTGCAAACTAAAAGCTGAACATAAACTTGACCTCATAGGTTGTTTCCTAGAATGCTACTACTACTATTCTCTCCTTCCTCACAAGGTGCTAACATGGGATGTGGGTAAAATTACCCCTCAAAAGCTACCAAACCTGAAGGGCATAGTGAACCTGCAGTCTGGAGCCCCCAAGCCAGAGGAGAACCCAAGTTTAAACATCCAGTTTAAGATACAACAGCTTGCAATTTCAGGTGAGTGGGGGGGTATTACATGAAATTGGTGCTGGCAAACAAGTTGGTGTAGGAAATTAAGTGGAAAACTGTTAATCATTTAATTGGAGATGCAGATCTGAAATCAGCTTGATCCAAAATGATAAAGTCTGATTTACCCAAACCTGACAGTTACCCTTGATGGAAGATTTCTTTGCTGGGAATTGTGAATTCCCAATTGTTTTGCTCAAGAAAGACTGAGAGAAGTATACAGAAGTTCGGATTTTTCTTTGTTGACTGGTGCATTAAACATGCAAACGTATCCTTTTAGTGAAGATTGATGGATGATGATTTAGTGTGCTGGTCCTCACATGCTTTAGCCTTGTGCCACTAAAGCTCTTTCTAGTGGTCATAAAAATGCATTAATTTTCAAGAATGCCCTTCTTATTCTTTCCTTCTGGAGCTGATTAGTTTTTCATCTTTGAAACAATTTGCAAGTAAAAGCAGAATGAAGTCTATAGGGTAAGTGCAGAAGTGAATTTAAAGCAGACAAGGCCTCAGTCTGGAAACACTTAAATCATGTGAGTTGACCCTGTGTAAAGTGCTTCTCCAAGCAAGCTTTGCAGGATTAAGGCCCTAACAATGCAAGAACTCACATTCAGAGAGGCGGAGGAGGAGGATGTCTGAAGGCAGTTGATGAGAGTTGGTGGTAGTACATGGTACCTTTCTGGATTGGTCTTTTTGGCCTCTAGACTATTGGGAGGAAACAACAGTTCCTGCGTAAGAACAGAATCCTGCAGTTTTCTCCTAAACTAGTTTAAATCTAGCAAGATAGAGCTGGTTCAGCGGCTGGACACCAAAGATAACAGACCCGTGAGAAAGCATGGAACAGCCTGAAGCTGCAGGTATTTAATAGGTATTTAATAGCTACTGGCCTTCCTCAAGGAATAGCAGAGGGATTGCTGGTTCTTGCAATTACGACTTGGAGTGAAAAGAATTCTAAAACTTGTCCTTTGCTTCATCTCCATGATTGGAAAGGAGTGCAGTGGGCAGGAGCTGTGGAAGATAGACTCGGTTGTTCCATAGTTTATCTCTTGCAAGGAGGATGTTTGCTTATGGAGTAGAAGAGAAACAAGGTGTTGCCGTGCCAAGACAGCTGTGATTAGTTGACAGGAATGTTCTCATCTGCCACTCCAAACCAGATGAACTTGTGAAAGAAAGGAAAAGGATCTTCCTAACCAATCCTAATGTTCTCTCAAGACAGCCAGATATCTAATCAGACTGCTGTGATTCCTAGCATTCTGCTTTTAACTTTCTACTTGTCTCTGTCTTTTTTCAGGACTGAAAGTGAATCGCCTTGACATGTACGGAGAAAAATACAAGCCTTTTAAAGGGGTCAAATACATTACAAAAGCAGGAAAATTCCAAGTCAGGACATGAGAAGATTCTAAGAGGAAATTCCCCTTAAAAAAACTTGACTGCTTAGTGACTTATGTTGGTTAGGTGCCAATTAATTACTAGAACACTGATTAGTTTGGGATCAAAGCATTTGTGCACAGCAGCTCTTAAAATGAAAGCATAGCTTAGTTTTTCTTAATATAGCTTTAAAATAAGGTACTTTTTTTCTATTACACTTTCACTCTTTTTTTACTGAATTGTTGTGCTGGTGAATAGTTTGATATGGGCAACCCACAGAATGTTACAAACACTACACTGCCAGTCAGATACCAAAGCCCTGAGGTCAAGCACATTCTGAAGGCCAGAGAGGCCACTGGAAAAGTCTTCTGGTGGCATGTTTTGCTGCTGCAGCCACCTGCAAAGAAAGCTCAGTTCCACCCACAGCCAGCTGCAAGCTGGCATTCCACAAAGCAACGTAATCCCTTCAGAAATAGAGAACAGCAGTGAGAGGGGCAGGGGTCCCCCCAGGGCCTAGGATATTGCAAGTGTCACTCCTGAAAAAGCTTCTGATGAAGTAAAAAATAATTTCTGTGTTGTTTACAAGAAATCGCCTTTCTTAAGAAGCATTTGCCTTAATCAGCTTTCATTTCTGCCAGCTGCAGATGAGCTGATAAAAATAACATCCTGCATTAAATCTGGGAGGTGATCGTTGCTTCAGTAATCCACTTTCTTTCCATTCAATCCCATCATCCCCATCATTTTTTTTAAGAATACAGTTGCAGAGAGCAAGATCTATTTTTTATGTGAAGCCTTTGCTTTGATTTAGATGTTCCACTTGTTTGAAGTGGATGCCACCAGGTCTGTGCAGTGTGTACCTTCCAGCGTAGCTTTTTAGATAGCACAGTAGAAGTGTCAAGTGTATTTAATGGTTGCGTGCTTTAATGTTCTGAAATAAAGGGAACTCCACTGCAAATATGTCTCACCTTATGAAATGTTCATGCTCTTGTAAACAATTCGTGGTGCTCTTAAGCAGGAGGCATCTGATACACTATTAAACAATGACTATTTGCTGTATCTTTACTGAACTTGAGCACTGTGCAGCTGCTTAGAGTTTTAAAAGGCTGTTAACAGCACAATAAGTAAGGTCTATTTCATATTTCTTATTTTTAAATGGAAGACAGCTATTTATTTATGATATTTCAAAGGCTCAACAGTCAGAGCAAAGCTGACCAAACTTCTTGTTATACACCAACAAAATCATCTCTCTAAACCAATACATACTCCAAAGTAGCTATCAGGTTCCAAACCGTGCATTTGATCAATATTAATTAAGGATAGGATACTGGAGACCCTTTGTTTCTCTAACCAACCTGTCTGGCTTACAAATCAATGAGTAGGTACTAGCTTTGGTTCCTACTTGTCATCTGAAGCAAAGTCACTTGTCAAAATTTCAAATACTGGGACAAAAATGATCCAGTCAGGAAAGAGGAGGGGAAATCCATCTGAACTGTGGCAGCAAGTCAGTAAGGAAAGAAATGGTCATACAGTCTCTATTTGTAACTTCAGTAATATTATTAGGGTAAACTTGGCCATAAACAACCATTTTGAATGTCTAAAATGACAGTAGATAAAACAGCACCATGAAGAACCAGCACTCTGTTTCAGCAAATGGCATCCTTCAGTTATTGCACTTCCAGAAAAAATCTTGTCTTCAGAGGTAACGGGTAACATCCCAAGCTGAAGTCTGAGCAGCTGGAGCTGCTCTCTGCCTTAGCAGCCTGGAAATGCTGCCCCATGGCCTTTCAGAGCTGACACCCTTCCTGAGCTGGGACACACAGAAGTGTCAGAGCTCCAGTCCCGACCCCAGCGCGGCCTCCCAGGTGTGACTGAACAAACCCCGCCTGCTCCAGGACCTCCCACAACAGCTGTCATCGGGACAGCCCCGCTCACCACCACAACTCACTGTCACTCACCTCTAGGAAACCAGTCTAGGCATGGAGATGTGTTTTGTCAAGGAAATGGCTGCAGGTGTGTGAGGCCAGTACCTTTTCTTGTACATGTGCTGGTTTCCTTCTGTTACATAAACACAGAAAGCTCAACTGCAGAAGGGGGCCTGTGTTCCTGTTCTGTTTAAAAAAAATAATGTACCAGCACTTCTCTGAAGAGTAGAGTTTAGGGAATCAGATGGTATCAATAGCAAGGAATTACACTGCCAGGTTTTGATCTCCCCTTCTCCTCATGTCCAGTTCTGGGAGTGCCGACAAAGGTGGTTATCTGTCAGGGTCTCATTTTCTTTCAGATATGGAGAGGACTGTGAACAGTACAATACTCTGAATTTTACCAATTATTACTAAATACCAGGTGCCCTCTGGGACTATGGGGCTATGTTTGGTCCTACAGTACCAATAAACATTGGTTCCAACAAGTCAGAATGTTGTATGCTGGTAGAAATTTTTAGCAAGAAAAAATGTTTATAAGAAGTTCTTACAGTGTCAGAGTGAAAAATACAACAGTGGTTTCATACTCATCACCCTTGTATTCATTTTAAGAAGTAAAATTCACATTAACAAGATGCTGGTCAGAGTAGCAGCTCTTCCCTTACTGACAGGACCAGGCCAACCCCATTTTAAGTTTTCACAATACAGCAGATCACTGTCAGGTCTCAGGAAAATCTCCTGTTCTCTCCCACTGAACACAGCTTCCAGTAAATTATTTATTTACTAGTTTGACAGGCACAAAAGACCAAAAAAAACCCTTTGTTTAATCTGCTAATGTTTTAGAAACTTTGCACTTTCTATTCAGAACATGTAGAAACAACTGTTCTTTTGCTTTAGTTTTTTGTTTCTCTTCTTGTTGCAGCATCATCTACTGCTGCTGTTATCATTAACACTCAGAAAGAAGCGTGAGAGCACTCATTACCACTTTGTTTTTGTACAAATGCATTTTTATTGTTTTAACAGAACCAAGAAAGGTTGAAAACATTAGACTATACAATACATTTTGGTTTATAAACAAAGTTTTATAGTGGTAAAACATTTCTAAGTGACATTCATGGTCTTGTTCAAATTTTTGCTGCACTTCAGCTCTGAAGACCAGTAGTGTTCAAAAATGCAGTAATTGCATAAGGTGGTCAAGTATCTTGGCTTCTACAAACAGTTCGAGAACTTAGAGCAAACATTCTGGAAGAATATCAAAGGCAACCATGATTCATAATTCTCCTGCAAACATTCCTCAATAAACAAAAAGTGATCTTTGGCATAAACAATTATGTATTAAAGGCATTAGTAATATTGCATTAATATCATTCAAGCAACTAAACAGTGATCTAAAATAATAATAATTAAAAAAGAAATCTCAGAGAGAAGCCTGGATGGCAGGAGCAGGATGAGGGGATGTGAGGAGCACTGAAAAGCAATACAGGAAGACTATTTAGAAAATCCCTTTAAAATAATCCCTACGTATTCAGTGTTATGTACTATTAAATAGAAATTACTACATTAAAATTAAGCTAAAGTTTTGATATAAACCAACCAAATGCATCCAGGTTAAGGCTCTGGCACCCCTTCCTTCCTCTTCCTGTTGCAGGTAACTGCAAGAAGAGAGTACTAAGGAAAGATCCTAAGTACCAAATATTTCATGATACCCAGACACAAGGAGCAAATTCAAGAAGAACACGCCTTCTCTTGCTGAGGTCAGTTTGAGACAGTTGTATTATCAACAGTTTAACTTCCCTTTTTAGATAACAGTGCAATGAAGGGGGTGGAGGGGAGAAGGTCCAAGCACAGAATAACTGTTGCAGGCAGGTAGAGGACAGCTGAGTGTGCTGTGTCTCTTCCTTTGAGCTGTTAAGACTGAAGTTTTTCCCCAAGGACACTTCTGTTCAAGGTGGTTTGATCGTGCAACAATTCTCAGCAAATTAAGAGGGTATTATGAGGTCAGTGCTGATTTGGGCAAAAGTCTGCAAGTATTCCTTGCAGATGTAGAAATTCGTTCTCAAACAAGTTTTCCTTTCCATTAAACGAACAGATATGAATATATGTGTGTATATATATATATATATATGAAGGCATATTCAATTATGGAAAGATAAAACATCATAAGTCTGTTTTATTAAGGGGAGGGAGTTTGGGGGGATTATATTGTCATTTTGTTTGGGATTTTTTTTAAAGATATAGTAACACTTTGTTCAATTCACTTGAAAAAAAGATTTTGAAGACTCCAAACTCCACAAGCAGTAAAAATAATGAGGTATGTGCAGCATTAGGAACCACCATTTGCTGGTAGGCACCAGCTTACCTAAAGAGGGTTTCATGTCCCTGCAGAGCTCAGGTTTCAATAAGCTTATGCATTGTTGGAAAGAAGAACAGTGAGGCTAAAGGTATTTTTAAACTGAGTATCTTTATCTTTTAATTTTTATCTTGAGCGGCTGGAATAACATTAGATGGAGGGATGAGGGAAATCAGAATAATTGCATGTGCTCATTTGGTTTTCAAAAAGAATGAGCCAGCATGTGGCATTTTCTGGTCCTGGACATGCAGCTAAGTTAACAGAACCAGGATTTTTCAGCTCAATACATTGCTGAATTGAGCAAGGAAAGAGTTCCATGATTTAAGGTCTCCAGCCATAAGGCTCAATCTGTCAACAGTGTGCCACTAACACAATCTGCAAAACCTTTCAGTACAGTACGAGAGTTCTGGAATGCCTAGCTACAGGTGACAGGAGGGGAACACAGACAGCTCCAGTTTCTGTTAAAGTACTGTTGCCAGGCAAGAATCAAAAGCAAAAAGCATTTCAGACATGGAGCTTTAATCCTCAGTTTACAACTGTTCTGCTGCCCCACCTTCCCTCTTTTAATCAAAAACCCCACACCTTCCATCATTTCTGCATGGTTTTAGAATAGCCAGATAAAGTCCTGTTGAGAAGTTGAATGTTTCTGTATCAATGATTGTCCCTAAAAAACTGCCAAGTAACCAAGTGTCCTAAACGCTCAAGACAAGCTTAAAGTGAGGTCCATGTTTTATATTATCACATGGAAACTACTGGAATATACAGTGCATAAAATAAATGTGCTTCTGGGAGTACAGAATACACTAAGAGAATCTTGAAAAGCAATAAAAAAAAAAAATTTAAATACAAGAACTGTCTACTGTTGGCAGCAAATTAGAGGTGTTGGATGTCAAAGGTGTTCCAAAGACATTTGAAATGCATTATCTTATCATTCATACCCTTAGAATGGGGCATTAGCATAAGCTAATCTTAAGCTCATGTATACAGCACCTTCTGCTGTTAATACATCTCTTCTGTTTCCAAAAAAAGGCATTTTTGTTACAGAAAACAATACTAATGTGGCAAGTACTTATTGATACCATGGGGTCTTTCTGACCCAGCGAAGAGTGAATCCAGCATCTGTTCTTATCTTAATGGATGCTGCTTCAGCTTCTCTCACAGTTTCCTTCACAGACTGCATGAGATTCTGGGCATTATGAACCAACATCTCAGTTGCCTGTCAAAAAAAATTTCCAATATATCAGTAAATACCATGATCGTGACAGTAGCATGTAAACTCTTTGTGCACAAAAACTCCCAGTACAAATATATTAAGTCTGCTGCCTGAAACTGTGAAAATACAAGTGAAGTAACTATCTCTGGGCACCAGCGTTATCCTGACTCAAAAAAAACCCTTCCCGTTCCTCACCGTGCACTTGTGCGAAACCTGAATACAACCTGCCTGTCACTAAGTAGAATAACCCCTCTCGGAAGCCAAAGTTGCGAGAGTTCTCCTGAAAAGATGCATTTGGAAAGTAACTGAGCTGCAGGGGACTCGAGATGATGTTGGAAAATAAACGTTTCCCCTGGAATCCACCCGAGGGCGCCCCTGCCTCTCCCAGGTCCAGTCTGCGGTGGCAAGTCCTTCCCCCGGCTTTTTACTGGGCAAAGCAGGAGATTAACAAGTTTTTCATCACAAAATTGGAACCCGAGTAGCTTTTTGGCTTGTTCCTCTATTAAACTGTAGCGTTGGAGCCAGAAACCAAGATGCTGTACTAAATTTATCCTCCCTACACAGCTGAGGTGAGCTTCAACATCAAGTTCCCAGAACACATCTGAGAGAACAGGTTGTGTATTTGTCCCCATAAAAGTGATCAACAATTCCATGCTACCATCAGTCTTTACACCTCTTACCTGTTCTGACTCTTCATCACTGATATTAGTTCTGCCCAGCATGGTAGCTTTAACAGTGGAGAGAATTTTCAGCTGTGTACTGATGGTTGGGATTCGCTCACAGACCTAAGTAACAGGGATAAAAAACCACTTCATACTGTAAATCGAACCAATACATTATGCATTCCTTTTCTTCAGATAAACTTTTTTATTTTCTTTTACTATTAGACAATTAACGCGCATAGAGGTGATCCTACAACCTTCAAGACTATCTGCTAAAAATTGGTAGGATATTTGAATATTATTTTACTTGCTGTGGGAATATTTGGGATGGACACAACATTTTTCCATTCTTCCTTTCCTTTCAAATTCTGCTTGGTTAGGAATAGCAATACATATATATATATATATATATATATATATATATATTTCCCTGAGACTTAAAAAAAAATTGTTGCATTTCTGGTACTATTCTTTGATACAAAGGAATGAAACAAAATACAATACAATGCCAGCTTAGGACAGATCAGTATTTGTAGCACAGTATTTTTTCAGAAGTTCTTTTGATGGAAATTCTAACTTTACAGAATATATGTTCACATAAATATATATATATATTTCCATGGGATCTAAAAACACAGACTTTGACAAAACTTTCCAAGCCAAGGGAAGATACCCATGATCTACTGGCACAATTCCTGTGCTCACCCCCACTGAGAGAGGCGCAGCAAAAGCAGCCTTGGAGCAGTTCCCTCGTTACCTGCAGGAGGTTGGTTCTGATGCGCTTGTCCGTGCACTGCTTTGCCACCTCCTTGGCGAGCCGGGTGACCTCGTCGGACGCCTTGGCGATGTCCTTGGCGCACTGGATGAGGGCGCGCTTGTTGCCGCTGCCGCCGCGGACCAGGCGCGACATCTCGGCCATGAGCAGCGCCATGCGCTTCGCCGCCGCGATGATGTCGTTGCCCTGCACGGAACGACACAGTCACTGCTCCTGCCGGCTCGTCAGCGCTCAGCAGAAACACTCCGAGAAGTTAAGGATGGAAGAACCACTTGTGAACACGGAAGGGGTTTCTTCAAGGAACAGGGAAGATCTGTACTAACTACTTGTTGCTGACATTTTTTTTTTTTTAAACACTCAGGGAAAAAAGCTCACTTCAAAACTGAAAAAGAAGTTGTAAAGTGTTAGTTTGTCCATGGAATGAGTTACTGCTCTGATGACTAGATTTTAGGATAAAGCATGTTATTAGCATTTGAAATTCCAGATTTTTCCCAAAAAAAAGACTTCTTTTAAAGTTAAAAAAATGTGCTAAACAACCAATGTGTTAAACCAGTTGTTGTCATAACGAGCATGGAATTTTCAGTGGCATCTGAAACTGAAGTTGTTAAAGCACCAGCTATGCTGCTAATAATGCCAAAGGATAAATGGAAAAGAATCTGACACACAACTTTTGTCACTGGCAATGTGGAAGTGAGATGCAACTTTTACTTTTTTCAAAATTATTCTTTGAAAATAATTTTTTTTTGATACAATCTCTCCCTTTAAAATAAAGCCTCCAGGAGAGAAGAACATGGAGTACCAAAAGATAATCTAGTGATATTTCTTATATTAAAATCAGGATTTCTTGTACATCAAAATTTACAGTCACAGAAATACATCTCAGAAATACTTGATATGTGAATTAATTGTGATCAAGGCAAACCCATTTCTTACACACTGTTCCAAAGAGAAACCTAGTGCAAGGGAAAGCAAACCTAGCTGATTGATTGTTAGTAATCTGTCAGTACATTTAGTGTATTTATCTTATTCCCTTTCATAGAAAGTTGTTAGTCAAAAGAGAACTATTTGGTGCTTTGAAGCATTCCTATTGTGTGGATGAAATAGCAGCAGAGTGAGTTTAAGTATTAGTACACGCTTTCCCTGGAATAATCCCACAGATAATGACTGATGAAGTTCAGAGCAAGGAGTACACAGTGAGAACCCAGCTGAGCCAAGGTATCCTCTAGCCTGTGCACACACTTCTGTGACTCACTACGAGCAAGTTGAAGATGATATCCCAGGCATTTTACAGATACAGTGACCCAAACAGCTGAACTATTCATTACCGTGGCCTATTAGCTAAACAGTTTGCTACTATAACCAGTTAGGATATAAATGACATAACACAAAGCTTTTCCATGTTTTCACGTAGGAGGATCAGTGTCTAACAAGTTATCCAAGCACCAGAATCTGAAAAGGACAAGAACATTTTTAAAGCCCTTTTTATTAAAATGGTTTAGTATAACTATCTACGTAAGTATACACACACACATACATATGCACACTCCCCTAACTTTTGTTCGTTATGGGACACCAACCTTATTTTTTGCAGCATGCTATAAAAAGTGCCCAGTCTTGCAAACATTTGTGCTTAGACAGAAGACAGGCTACTTGTGAATGTCTGAACCTCGTTAGATTTCCACTGGTTTCATACAGACAGGATCTCAATTCAGCAGCTAACAGCATTCAGTGCAGCTTCTTCAGAAAAGAATTCTCTCAAGACCAGCATCTGCAATACAGCCCAGTGCAAGCCAGCAGTCAGGCAGTCTCTTCCACTAACACTGCCATACAAAGCCATTCCTTGTTGGAAGGGATGTTAATTGGCGGCATCAATTGAGGCCAAGCACAATAGACACCTTAAATGACTTCTTGAATTCTGTAACTCTGCTGCATCCGGAAGTCATTAGGAAACCATTAACCATGGCTTCCCAGGTAGCCCACATGAACGGAAAAAGGATCCGAAGGGGAGGAAGACAATCCCTATTAAAATTTGAAAACTGCCATAACAAAGAAGACCAGGCAGATGCAAAGGGAGAGGAAGTCTTTGAATATTAATAAGTGACCCCAATCAAGCTTCAATCCGGCACTGACAAACAGATCTAGCAAACTTGTGAAGCCACTCTCAGTCCTTAAAATGAAGTGCAGACACACTTATTCATTCAGGATGGCGGGGCCCAGCAGGGATCAAGAGTGATGCAAATGTGTCAGCGTTCCAAGTGGCCGGATGCACGCGGATCAGTCCCCGGGGACTCAGGAGTACCTTACTAGACCACTTGGTTGCTTCCCGGTGTAGAGACTGAGCAGCAGCCAGAATGGGCTGGTTAACGGGCTGATTGGTTGGCATTAACAGCAGCTCAGGCTCGTAATCATCTTCAATGTCATAGGGGAGAGTGAATTCAACATCTGCATCATCCTCCTCATCTATATCTACACCAGCCTCAGCCGCTTCATTAATCACAGTCACATCAGGCTTTGCAGGTGGCAGCAAGGGTGGAGAAAGAGGGGACAGTTAGTACAAGAAGCAGAATTTGGTAGAAGAGCACAAACTGAGCAGTTTTAGTGACCAAAACATCCTCTTGGCCTCTCAGGATCTGACAAGGCAGCTCTAGGATCAGGTCAAGGGGAGGAGGGGAAGGAATAGAAGATTAGCAGAAGGAAAGAAACAGTTCACCTGTGAACCAAAGTTACCAAAAATATTAAAAAGATACAATGCAAATATGCAGCAACATTTTCCATTTGAGCATTCAGCTTCTGTAGACAGAGGCTGACCCACAGAACATTTTACTGGCAGGTCAACAATGAAATGAATGGCCTTTCTGTCTCAGTGGAAGCTGTTCTGACTGCACAGGAGCAGGCACAGCAGCTGATGACTGCGGTATTTGTGCAGATACAAAGCTTTGTATGGAAGCCCATTCATATGTGTGATAAGAGCAGATAGCAGCAGAGAAGCCACTGACACTGCTTGCTGTAGAGTAAAAAAAAAGAGATGGGATGGAAGACACTGCAGAAGCAAGTACTGAGGTACCACACAGAACATGTAAAAGAGCAACACAGTGTTCAAAAAAGAAGAGGTGACGTTGAATGCCATGAATACTGTGAATATTACACTTCTTAAAGAAGATTGAAATGGAATTAA